GCATGTTTGAATAAGAACCTATATTATTCGAAGAGTTTGAATGATTTGTTATAAAAATGATATGATTGATTACGATAACCAGACCAAGACATTGACAAATTACACTAATCAAAACATTAGTTTATAATAATGTATATTTAAAGCTGATACCAATAACGTTTATCACAGTTTACATTAAAAATTGAGTTACTTACTCGTACATTAAATTGTTTTGCTATGAGCATTTTTAGAACGCTATGCGTCTAAAATGGCAAAATAGATAAAAATATACACATATATATCACGCAAACGTCTACCCTTATTGCTATTCGATTTTCTAACCCATATCAAGTGATATACCCATGACCCATGGGTATTGGGTCAGATGCGTAGACCAGTTAATCAAAAACCCACATATATTACATTATTATCCATTAAGTCGTAGACACGTTCCGGGAGTCTACTCTGTATATTCGATTTGAAGTTCGGATTGTTTGAAAATTGTATTTTCATTGTCAGTGTATTAATGCATCCACTATAGTAGAACACGCTTTACTTTTTACAATCACATATTGATAACGGACGTTTGATGGCTCGGGGGTAGCGCGCTTGGTACGTTGTTAACCAACTTTAGCAATGGCTGGTCATAAGATAGTTGACCAACAATTTATTATCTCGAGCTCCTTCGCGCTCCGGAAGGCAAGTCAAGCCATTGGTCCTTGCTACATCTGCAGTCGTTAATAACTATGAAGAAGCACTGGGTTCGCTTAGGCCTGAGCCCCAGCAAGGGGAACAATAACACGCCGGTGGTGAAATTAACAGGCAAGCCCAGTGAGAAGTCAGCGTTAAGACTATATATGTAGTCAAGACCTGTGGATAAACATGCCTAAGGAAGTACAGAGAAACTCTAGTTGATCTTGTAGTCAGTATAGAATCTACCCACCACTCCTCATTTTTTTTTTATCACCGCAATTGTAAATCAAATCAAATTGTAAATCGCTTTTATGTGTGTATCATCAAAACTCACCCATTTTATAATTATTTGTAGTATTTTGTATGATACGAAGACGAGTTTTATCAGCTTGATAAAATAATTTCCCAGATAAATGCATAAAGCATACGCTGTCATCGGAAGATCTAGTTTTGATTCACGCGTTTAAAATTTTCTCGCATGTGTATATGACCTAACTCAAGCTCTACTTTTAAGTCGTATGACGCCGTTTTTTAGTATTTTTGAATCGCTAAAATGATTCGAAATATTGAATTTTGTTCTTCGTATTGTATGGAAAATAAATTTGTCCTATATAAACAAAAAAAGTGTGAATATAAACAAAACGGCAATAAACGACATTCATTTATCATTTCACGTTTTTCACTCGCATACAGTGTTCACCAAACGACGAGTGGTTTTACCACTTCTTGCAGTTGAGTGAATCAAAAATGGCGAATTTGTTATGTAGAATAAAATTCAGTAGAAAAACGGGCGCTCGATGCGAGACAAATGATTCAAAAGTAGAAGTCTTGACGAGTGCCGATATTATATAGGAATTAGAGAAAAAGAGGCAAAGGTTACTCTCAAAGACCCCTCGGAAACATTACTGTGCACGCTTCAGGAATGAAACCTGGCACTTGATACGTATAAGTCCTGTGATATAGAGTCTTCGTTTTCTTTTAGGATTTATTATTTTAACCTCATTAACACTCAAAGAGTCTTCATTAACTTTTTTGTCTGAGTGGTTTTGTACGTCTGTTAAACAATCGCAGCACTCTCTCACTCTCTCCTCTCTCTCTCCTCACTCTTGTGTGAGGACTGCTTTCTTAGTTTACACGTAAAGAGCATTGTGTACTCGGTCAGTTCAGCGTCCAAGGTCTTGGGCATTCTATTTTTCCTTGCACCACAAGGCATTTCCTATAGACATCTTTTATGGCAAAACGTGTACAGAGAAGTTGAAAAATTCGATCCGAAGTTCCCGAAGGATAGACTCGATAGTCTCAGAGTAGAACCTTGGTTTTAATAGAAATCCAATAGTATTTCAAAATTTCTTGTTCAGATATATGTATAACAGGCTGTCTGGTTTGTTTAACTGTGTAACATTAACCTTGGTGTGGTTAGTCCGCAATTAAGAGTTGCGTAGGTCAACATTGTTCGCTTGCTTTGGCGACGGGACTTGATACTGCTAATTATTCATGTTGATTGTCGTCTCTGCCTTTGTTTACTTCTGCATTATTAAATTAATACACTAGTTGAAAACTTGCTGCGTTATTTATAAATGCTAATTTTTATATTTACTATTTTTTTATCCGTTACATAGAAATTGGTAGTACTAATCGAAGTCGTACCAAAAAAAAATGTGAACTTTCAATAAATGTTCTTATGTTTCATCATCATCATCATACCCACTGCGGGGGCTCAGGCTTTCCTTATGGATGGTTAAGGAGGATGGGCCCTAACCCTCCAAGCTGGCCCAATGCGGATTGGAGGGTATTAACGACTGCAAATGCAGCCGGGACCACAGGCCGGGACCAACGGCTTAATGTGCCTTCCGAAGCACGAAGCAGCTCGAGATAATATTTTTTTGGTCACCTATCCCGTGATCGACCCTTGCGAAAGTTGCTTAACAATAACGATCGCGGGCTGCAGCGCTTATTCTCTACGCCACCGAGCTATTGTTCTTATGTTTACATGTAAGCAATAGGGATGACCATCAGTTTTTGTTTGTTTTTCCGTAAGCTAGATGATCGAAGAATATTAAATACGATTTTTTGTGTAATGAATAAATTACGGCGATACATTGAGTTGAAATGTCGCATGACGTCACGCTTGTGTACATTTTCTACAAAACTGTGACGTAGCAAGCCCCCACTCCTCAACTTCAATGCCTTCAATTTCTTTATTTTTTACACAGTCATCAACCCTATTATATTAGGTATGTTTATTTTTCAATTTTCATTATTTCGGTGACAGTTAAGAGGGGATAAATAGCCAATCATTGAAACCAGTAAAAGTATTTGAAATTATAACGATACCCTTTCGTGACACACTAATAGACTTTCTATATCATCCTATTTAGCCCCCGGGCCAGCTTGTTTTACATTAATTTATTCACGTGACAAATCCTTCTTTAGGTCATCGACTTACACATTTATCAGTCTAGTAGTTTCGGAGTTAATTAGCTGTGACAGACGTACGGACAGACAGCTGACAACCAAGTGATAGTCGAGTGATTCAATAACGATTTCAATATTTTCTTTTGAGTTACAGAATTTTAATTATACGTATTTTAATGCTTCTATATTACATTCCGATCGTACTTACTTATAATAAGCTTTTCATTTGATACAAAAAATATATATTGCGAAAATTTATAAATATTTTGTCAATTGTCTTCTTCAAAGCCGAATCAAATATTAAATACTGGCACACAATTACAATACGATTATATCAAACACATTCAATGACATCAATTTTAGTTCAATAAATTTTTAATTAATTATTACTTGGCTTATATATTTATTCGATAAATAAAGACTTTTAATATTTAACTAAATTACAATGGTGGCAAATGTTTTTATATATGTTTTCTCCCGTAAATTTTTCTATAAATCGACAAAAACAAAAGGAGATAACCGCGACGTTTTTTCTTCTTAATGACGTCATTGTTCCAAAGAGGTTTGAGATTGCAAAATGTTTGAGTGCATATGGCTTTGCGACAACTACACGGAATAGCACACAATAAAAAGCACTTATTATCCTTTAGTGGTCCAATCTTAGGGTCAGTGAAAATCTGATGGAAGGTCTGCCAAGCGTCTCACGGGTCTCATATTAGTACGTTAAAGAGTATACAAGGTCTTAGCATCATCGATGGATCGAATTACCTACCACGCGGGCCCAGTGCTGATTGATGGGTGTTAACGACTGCAGATGTGGCCGAAACCAACGGCTTTATGTGCCTTCCGAAGCACGGAGTAGTTCGATATAGCAAATTTTTGGTTTTACATCCTATAACCGGCCCTTGTAAAAGTTTGCTTAACAACCGTATTGCAGATCGAGCGCGCTAACCACTGCTCTACTGAATTCCATATCATCATCATCATGTAATTTCTAATTGCCTTGTGTCATATCCAAGAAGTTATGGCAATTCGGATTGATGATGGGTGTTGGTCCTAAATTAATTACTAATAAACTAACTTATATTGTACTAAACTATTAACTAACAACGAGAATGTTTCCTTTTTAATATAGGCTATTGTTATTATTAGAAGAAATCTGAATGCTTCAATCCTCTTTCTAGAGAAAAATCCTGTGCTATATATAAGTCGTTTCATAAAAAATGAGACAATTTTAATAACTCGAGATGAGATATCGCTAGAGTTATACCTCGGTTACAAGAAGGCAACTTGATAAGAGCGAAATTCCTAGAAAATCAACGGTGTAGAACTCATCTAGATGTGCTATGTATTTACAATATTTTCAAAGAATATGTTCTAAAAAAATAAATAAAAAAGGTTATTTTTTTTTATTTTATTTATATTCGAACAGATATCTTGGTATATATTTCACGAAGAAATTCCTATAACAATTATAAATGCTTTTGAATACTTTGGACTATTCAAAAGTATAAAATAAAACAATATATCCATTCTTTTAATATAAGTAATGCTAATTAATTAATTCTCATCGAACGCGCAGGATAACAAGAAATTAATTTTTAGGATTTTTTGTATGAAATATTGAAATTCTGATGTCACCAAAGATTTAAGTTGCAAAGAAAGTTGGTTTCTCTCGACTTCCTTGCCTCGGACCGATCTGCTGACTTTAAAGATATACTGAACGTCATACCACATCTTGTAACTTTATATCTTTTTAAGCCACCAAACACTTAAATACTAAGTTTACATTTGGTTTAAGTTTAATTTATAGGGGCTTAGAGAAGGCGTTTTTATTAAAGTTTGTAGTTAATGCCATAAGTTGTTTGTAAACAACGCTATGAAGTTTTAGCCTTTGAGATGGAATTCTCATTATGTTAATAGATTTATTCGCGGGAGATATTCGTTCGAAATTTGAAATCGTAAAAATTTACTGCCTCGTGGGAAATGAATTTGCGTACGACTGTAATGTATCCAATTTACGTAACCGAAAGACTTCGCGTCTCGCACAAGTCGCAAAAGTTAATATGTTTTGTCTTTTCTTATTGCATTGTCATAAGGTTTGAATTTTGTAGCTTATGGTAGGTACACCGTTTTGATATCCACAAAGATATGTCGACGAATACGAAGATTTACTTAGCTTCATACATTGTTTTAAATAAATATATCTTTAACTACTTTGAGATAAGGACATCAACATTATTATATACATACCTTTCAACGTCCCGTCTCTGAATTGCCGTTTGATTATCGGCAAATCTGTATTGATATATTCTCTATTTGGGTCTGAAAAGAAGCTCAATATTTGTTAGACAATTGTCTCTTAATAAAGATTGATAGTGACTTTCAAATCGGTTTTGTATTCGTTGATTAGGGATAACTACATAATTCTGCGTCTCCAACTGGTCGCGGTTCATCATTCAATTGTAATTTCTTAGCAATTTCCTAAAGAGATATTGATACAGACGGTTCTAGAGATAAAATTATTTTTTCGTAAAGAATGTTTAGAGAAAAATGTTTAAGGAAAAATTTAATTCAGATTTGTGAGGACAAAATCTTAAGAAGATTGTCGATCTGCGAAATGCCTATATCGAAAAAAAAAACATTTTTATCGCACTATATAGTTAAATACAATAAACAGACATTTTATGATTAATTTATTGTAGAGTTTAAAGAGAGATGGGGATCTGCTCTGTCGTTTTAACTGAGGGATGTCTTTGTTTACATATTTATAATACTCGTATGGAGAAAATAAAATATTAATGTTTTATATGAAATAATGATGTGTTTTTATTTGTCAGGTCCTCAGGCAGACTACCCTCCCGATCGTGCCAGATCGTCACCAGACCTTCCAGAGGCAGCTTTCTCATCGATTGGACTTGCCTTCCATTCAGTTCAGTATCTGTAGTCTGGAGCGCGCCGATTCATCTATTGGACTTATTAAGGTAAGTAAAACGATGGAGTTTCCAATAGATTTTAACTCTTAATATGTTGCTAATAATGATACGAACCTATCGTGTTTATTCGACATATTAATACCAGATATATGCTTTATGTGGACGTTTATTAATTTGATAATGAATTCTTTTTTAACCTATGAAATATTTGTATGTTAATAAAAATATGGCTGTAAGATAAAAGATTTGTTTGACTTGTTGGCACAAAAAACATTATACAGGCCTATGGATTAATTAATCAAAACCCAATCTAGATTAAAATATAAATATATCTTGCGAGATTGTATAATGTCAAAAAACTTGTGATCCATACGTATTGCTTATTATTTGAAGCGTTACTTTTCGATACATTATTAGCTATCGAATTTGAAATAGATAACAATCTGATTGTTACATACGCGCGTTAATTGTAAACAATTTTCTTGGTTAATCACAGATTTTCACAATTACTTCTTGAGATAATTTTGTAAGCGTATGATATGGATCATTTTCGACGAGGTACATTATATGCTAGAGGTTTTTATACATAAATATTTTATGTGTGTCAAATTATAACGTTCATATAAAACTACCTTTCTAATGTCTTGAGTTCAAGTGTAAATTATAATGTACGAAACTTCGTACTTGTGCATAAATTGTTAACAATAACGCTAAATGCCGAATTTTACTTGTAACATATAATAGACCTTTAGACTATCCTCGACCTACACAATATTACTTGAAAATTTGTCGACAAGATGTCCCTTTGTGCCCTAATTAAGAAACTTTAGACTCTACTAACAAATGGTCACGGTTCGTCGTAATTAAGCTTTTGCCTGGATACACTCGTTTTTAGGTCGTTCAGGTAATAACAGTTTTTGTTCTTTTTAATTTTCAAACGAGCCTGTTTGTAAGGTAATTAGGTTTTGTGAAATAGGACAAAACGTACGAATCGAATGGTGCCTAAGGCGCTCAGCAAAATTATTTATATTAAATTATACCACAAAAATATTTTAGATGTGTTTGGCTCCAGCCTCTTATAAGACTGTAAATTTACTTTGGCACTTATAACTTTTTCAAGAATATGTTTGTGGAATAAATATATATATAATTATTAATATTGAAAGAGGCATAAAGCCAAAAAACTATTCTTGTCTATCTCATTGCAGAAATGGACAGACAATGGAGAACTTCTTTAATTTAATTTTAACCTATTATAACTATTATAAAACTCTTATAAAATTTATTTGGTTTATAAAATAACTTACATATCGCGGCATCGATAGCAAGTCTTACAAAAAGGTAGGTTCTGAATGAAACGATTGGTTTTGTATGATTTCATAACTTTTATGTTTTTGATGAGATTTCCCTATAAAAAAGTGTATGTAATTATAACATGAAATATAAAAACAATATAATAATAAATAGACAATAAGTTGTATTAAAAAATTGCTTAATTACTAGAGCTACTATATAATGATTAGCTAGTTCGGTCTGTGATGCAACGGTTAAGCAACTTTTGCAAGGGTAGGTCACAGAATAGGTGATCAAAAATTTACCTTGAACGACGCATTATGCTCGGGCCACATATGCAGTCGTTAAAACTTATCAATTCTCAATGATAATGAGCGACAGAAATCATGACGATATGCACTTTATTATTTCAAGCCCAATCGTCAGACAGAGGTGATGTGAGATGCCACAGCATTGATTTAACACTATTGTACAGAGATCTCTGGAGTGACGTACAATTTCCACGTAATTTCCCATCTAGTCCGTCTCACATCTCGACAGGTGGACAATCCGTATTCTGAAACCTATTCTATTATGTCTACAAACGGTTGGTTAATGTGTTTGGGAATATCCAATGTTATTTACTTTATTAGATCATCATTGCTACGTATGTACCAGGGATGTTATGGATGTGCAATTTCGGATCTATTATAGATATGAATATAAGCGTCCACTTTGTACGCACGTACGCAACGTATGCATAGGTATTGCATTTTCACAGCTTTGTATAAATTACTCTTTGCCTATATGTGCTGCTCAAATTTACGAAATACATTATATGAGCTAAGAATCTGCATGCTGATGACGTCACCGGAATATTTTCCATAGAGTTACTAAGTATCACTTGGCAGTGTTACGTCAAAACTATCACATGGTATCTCCTATTTAAAATTCTGAAAGCAGTAGACTTATCATCATGTCCGCCAGCTGCAGTTCACTGCTGGGTGCATCACAAAACACGATCTCCCGCTGTCTTCATCCAGCCACTGCCAACCATTTTTCTGAGATCGTCAGTCCATCTTGCAGGTGTGCACTGGAATTATGATGTCGGCAAATCCGCATAATGCATCCCATGCGTATTTTGTGCTGCTGTGCAGTATGAGAAACAACTACCCTGGTAAACTAGTATGTTATATTCATTAAAAGAAAAAGTACTACAAGTGTTTGATCATCACGGCTGCTCTGGGTTGAAGAAGGGTCCAATGATTGCATCCACACCAGGAGTCAGGTATTAAGGAGGTCAGCGATTCGATCTGTGACTTCTCAATAAGGGGAATGAAAATATATTTCACGTGTAATTTCTGTTTGTAATTTTTCAAATCAAAGAATGACTGGTATGTTGCTACCTCAGTTATTTTTTTCTTATAGGTTTTTTTGTGCTTGTTAGAATTAGCTAGTGTCCAAAATTATTCGAAACTTTCATTTCGGCATCGCTCACGGTTAAGGGTAGATTTTATATTTCATATACGGTTACACATTTCTGGTATACATAATTCAATAAGTTCAAGTTACAATGAAACTTCAAAATCCTATATTTGATCAACTTAAAGCTTATTGTCTTTTGAATGAACTAAATATACCTACGAAATATGATAATCTGTAAAAGTATAGTTAAATTTTCAATTCAGTTTTTATATAAATATCTATCAAACATATAGATTCCAAAGTTGAAATATTGTCACGATAAGGCAAAGGAATCTCAGATGTAAGTTGTATCCGATCTGAAGTACTCCTTTTTGTATATTCAAGAGGGCGTCAGCTTAAGTGGAACTTAGCTTCATTGTTGAGCGGTACAATAAAGCCTCCAAGGTATAAGAAAGGAGTCTGAATTTATTAAAGTTACCTGACGATATCGCGCTCTGTGATATTAAAGGTTATTGTGAGTGGACTTGCTACTTAGTAACCTGTATACAATCTAATATGGATTAATACAAAAGTATTCCTATAGAATTCAACGAGAAGTAACAATAAAAGGCACTGAAATAAAATATGTGTTTGAAAGAATGCGATATTATTTAACAAATGTGGATTGTGGACTTTTTAAGTGCACATTAACTCTGTTAAACTTCTAATTAACTCAAAATTTATAAAAAAACTTTCTTAGGAAGAGGTCGTCGTTTGATATACCTAATCACTTATTTTGTAACTAGTTAGATGATAGTAGTATAGAGAAAAGACCGACTAGGTTTGACAAGTGTATTTATGGTGAAAGAATAAGCTTGTATCTGGGTTTTCCTTCGAAAATACGATGCAAACTTATACACGTACATTTAAATCACTGCATATATTTTTTTAGTTTACGTATATACTTCTAAAATATTTTATAAATTTTCAATGATAATGGTAATCGTGCTTTGAATTGACATGCATAATGAGCTTGAATGTATTTAAAAAAAAAATACAGAAACTGAATATTAAAAAATAAATAATTTTTAAAATCAGAGTCTATTCTGTTTTTTTAGTATATGTTATTACAGCGGCAACAGAAATATATCATCTGTGAAAAACTCAACTGTCTTACTATCACTTCTTAATTATTTCCGTCGATTTATTAACACATCACGCTTTATGATATACAGTCTGTTGACTGCAAAAAAAAATCATGTGTGTTATATCGGAGCGACCTCAAATATTTGTTTTATTAATTTTTTTAGAATTTCTTGTTGAAGCAGCAACAGAAACACTTTATCTGTGAAGATTTCAATTATCTAACTATCACGGTTCATGAGTTCATGAGCTTGGTGACAGCAAAAAATCACGTTTCTCTTATGGGAGCACCCTTATATATTTATTTTTTCAGATTTTTGCAGTCACTAGCACAAACGTCCATTATGGCTTAATGACGCATTTAAGCTCTTATAATTGTCAGTTTTGTATCGGTAATGTCGCTTGAAAGTAATAAACATTTTAATGGACATTTGTGCGCACCACAAATACATCATCTGTAAAAATTTAAAAAATTTACGGTTCATGGGATACATGGGATCTGTATCCCACTGTATCTATCTGTATAGACAAACAGAAAAACAGCGAAGTCTTAGTAATAGGGTTCCCGTTTTACCCTTTGGGTAAAGAATTCCTATAAATCGTTTTACTTGTCCATGTTCTTGTGATGAAGCGATGTTCCCGTGCAAAATTTACGTAGGACCTCTTTGATTTTCAACTCACCTCACATACTGTTTCATTGAACTTTATTTTGTTCACCTACGTGATAATACTATAATTTCGTTTATAAATTTAAAAAAAACCTTAAAGAATAAAAATCTTATTATATAGAATGACTTAAAACGAATTTCATAGGTTTGTGTCAATTCTTTTAGCCGAGGATAAAGAACCCCCCAACTCCATAACATAAAAAATTACAATGATTACAAAAAATATGTTTTTATTATGTCAAAATACTTAACAAATTTAAAATACAATTAGTAAAAAAATCATCAATAAAAGGACTGAAACGTATATAAGTCCTTAGAGTATAAGTTCAAGTATTAATCAAGCTATCTTTCACACTTCTAGTAAAATTAATAATTTTATCCTTTCTACTACAGTTACAGCTTTAGCATCATATTGTGATCTATTTTGTTAAGTTATTAAAATGTATTTTGCCATTTAAATTTCTCTCTTGTAATAATAAATATACTTTGAAGGGTTATTTACCACAACCGTAATGATATGGCAGTTTTATGGCATCGTTACAACTAAATAAGCTGGAAGAGTAATAAAGTTTGTGTAACAAATTCTGCAGGCCTCCGAATAGAAATTGTCAGAAGGAATAAGGTTTTATTGACACCCGTTAAATTGCATTTTAAGTCAAATAATAATAATACTTTACTATCATGACACCGTTTGTTTAATACCAAATATAAATAACGAAATAGGTATATTATTAATATAGAACCTAATTACGATGTTCTATTGTTATAAGAATTTTAATAGTCTCTTATAATGACACTTCCGATAGTACGGTGTGCACCAAATAAATGAGCTCCAATTCATTTAAAAATCGTTTTACACCGTCTATAACACCGTTGATGTACAATACCTACATAAACGTGTAAAATAAATATACCAACATAGTGCAGCTATTGTCGGTCTTATCGTTGAAAAGAGTTATTATTAGACAACATTTAGACGAAGAGGAGTGATAGCATTTATAGAAAAAAGGGGTTAGAAACTAAGATTACTTAATTCTGAGATGAATAATTGAGATAAATAAAAAAATTGATAAATATTTATAATACACTTACATAAATCCGATCGTCGTAAAAAAATCTAAACAGTTAATTTTCAAATTATTTTTACATTAATAGTTTGCAATACGTGATTTAATATAATTATCTATAATATATGTCTGTCGCATCTGCTATCATTAATTATATCGCTGGCCAACTCTATTGCATCTTTAACTAAACTAAACAACTTTACTTGTATAAGATCTTCCACGGCCAGTTAGTGTAAGGAAGATAAGTGTGCATCGCTAGTAAATAAATGTATTTGTGCAAGCGGCAACAAATCCAGCCAACCAATTTTAAATGTAAGCTTAAAAAAGTGGCGCTTGCTGCAGCACGATAAGCGTAAGCACTCTTAAAATTTCCAAGTGATTGAAGAATTTTAGTTTAACCTACTTAAGTTTCTATGTTTCTAAATTGACCTACATAGGCATATTCGTTTTCGGTGTTACATCCGCCCGCTAACGTAGTAAAAAAGTGAAAATTTTCAAGAATCATTGAAGTTGTGCTGAGGTTTTTCAACCGCCCGAGTTTAATGTTTTTTGAAAAATTTAACCACTTTTAATATTAATATTATTTTTTACTTTTTTAAAGTTTCAAATCGGTTTTATTTTTTGAAAAATGTTTTTATTAATTATTTTTAGTGATATTAATATTTTGGTAGTGTTACCTATACCTACCTATATAAATATATAACAGAAATTATACTTACATAACGGAAGTCCTGAAATTTTTATTTATTTGCACGATGTAACCACGAAGAAATCGATGAACCGACCTACCTACTTGCATAAAATATACGTACATACTCGTTGAACATAGAAATCCCTCCTTTCGGTTTTTGAATGAATACAAACTATCATATCTCATGTTGTTTTTATTGATACAAACATGCCATCAAAATATTTAGGTGATAACTGATAAAAAGCATATTTTGTTTTTTTACAAATTGAAAACTACTTGACCATTTAAATTTATACATAGGCTCATTAAGCTGTTGAATAAAAAAAAAAGGAAAATCGATTAATAATTTGCGGAGTAATCGCGTAATAAACGCAAAAATAAATACCGACGAATTGAGAACCTCCCTCTATTTTGAATTCCTTTAAAAATATTATGATTAAAAGTCGAAGATAAAATTCAAGGCAGTCAACTTTTTCAATTATGTATTGTATAATACATACATTAGCGTTATTATAATTATAAAATTTGTTCCAGCCGGAGTTGTATAAGAACGAACTAGTGCGCCAATCGTCCACTGACAGCGCTGAGTTGGAATTTTGCGGAAAGCTGCATTTCGCTCTCAAGTATGACCAAGAGGTGGAAGCTCTCATTGTTAAGGTTCGTTATAAAAGCAAATTAATTTTATTTTTATTTCACTTAGGTTTTGCCAAATAGCCAGTAGTTTATGTAATCACAGAAAAGGAAGGAACAAGTAAGGAAGACCAAATTTTTGCTCGTATTACTTCGATAGACACTTTAATTGTCCTAGCAGCGGAAAATAAGATGAATGATGATGTTGCATGTGGATGGAATGAATGTAGTTTAATGAATGTATGGAATGCCGATGTGAAGAATACTAATACGAGTATTATGGGAAGTTAAAAAGCAATAATGACAAAGTAAAAGAGAGCACCTGAAGTGATGTAGAAATATAATAAAATCATGAGGGGACAAAGCGAGCGTTTTTATTTTAATCTCAGGAAGATATAAAATTATAAAAAGAAGTCAAAAAAATTTGTTCCAATTCGGTAAATAATTAAGCATACTCAGGAGCCGCGTTCTATGTCCGAGGAGAAGTTGGGGGAAATTAAATTACTAGTTACATGAATAGTGTACTTAGCAGTAGCTCACACTCTATGGACATGACATAATTAATGTTACAAAAAAAATGTTAGCTGATGAAAATATAGAGAGACTAAATGAAATATAATATAGGAATAAGAAAAATATTAGCAATAGCGTCTACATCAAAATGTGTATCAGAGCAGAAGAATTAATGAGTTTTAAGTCCAAAATTTCAACTTTAGTTTGGTAGTGACATAAAAATCTTCTCTTTTCCGAAGCATATTCTTTAATGTTGATTACGAGTGCGGAAATGAAAAAATAAACGTGAAAAAATAAGCGTAGAAAAAATAAATAGTAAAATATAAACGTGATGAAGAAGAATACGCCTTTTCTACTTCTAATAACTAATTTGATTTTTTTTTAAACAATACAACGGTTCTAGGTCGGATGTCTCATTTTCAAATATTGTTCTGTGATATACAAGAGCTATAAAAGTTTCCATGGCTACCTACGCTGATAGACGTTAATAAAGTTCCTTTGATAATTTTAATAATCAGAGTAAAAATTTATTCATTTATTGTCAGAGCAGATCTTTCAAGAAATCTTATGGTTTGAACGAAAGCAAAAACAAGCCTCACATTTTATATGAGTAATAAATGGTAGACACGTGCGGGACTTATAATGTTTTGCTGCGAAATTACAGAAGCTTGTAACTTATTTAGTTGAGCGACAACACGTGAGAGTAATATTTGTAATAAAATTATTATTCCCGGTTTACTCTTTATGAAACTGTTTTTTTTAGGATTCCCTACAATACCTCAGAACAAAAAAAAACGGTCACATTCGTGTCGGACTCGGGCACGAAAGGTTCCGTAACCTTGTGTCTAAAAAAATACAAAAATTACGTTTTATGTTAAGATTGTTTTTCGCATAGCATCAGCAACAGAAATACATATTATGAGAAAATTTCAAATGTGTATATATCACTGAGCTAAACAGAGGGATGGACGGATAACGGAATCTTTGTACATAATAGTTTAATAATCCCATGGAAGCTATAAATTTAAATTAACCGTTTTGACAATCGCCAGATATTTATTATTATTTTAGAGCAGTATCCGTTATTAGAACTCAATTTTTTTTAATGTATATTGTTTTTGATTGTACAGGAGAAGTAGAATCAATTTAAAATTCTAATATATGAATATAAATATTAATGCGTCTGTGTAAAAGTTTGTTTTAATGATGTTCTACATTCACATGCTGTATGTTGTCTTGTCTTGTCACGTACACTTGAGAGGTTTGCCAGTGTAATGCGTCTTTCGAAGTTAAGCGTAAAGCCACACCTGCTCCCTATTGTTTAGGGGTGGTACTAGATAATTTACGACATCTAAAGAAGACGCCTCCTGATGTAGTAGACGAGTAGTGAAAGGTTATGTACTATCTTTCCTTATTGCGTCATTTTTTCAATATTGGAGGTCGTGGTCACCGTAATATATCCAATCGTTCTTGTTATGTTGCATCTTCTATGGTTTCCACGCTTTCTTATATTTTTAACCAACTTTGTGTGGGTACGTATTTAGAATTGTTAGGTATTGATATTATTACAAACTACTGATTTTATACATATTCTTTTCGTTATTTACGACTATTGCGAATTTACAAAAAAAAAAACTATTCTAAAAAACCCACTCTGTCGTTAAAAACTTATAGTTATAAACAGTCTAACCTACTCTAATAGTTTGACTAACAAAAAAATAGATTTTTCAGTTCTGCATGCTATAAATGCTAATGCTAATACAATTGAAGTTTTCTATAGTTATTTTTTAAATGGGGTCATACATCCACCATATTAACATTTTAAACCTTTTAAAAGTTATGGTGGAAAAACCTATACTTTTGTGTAGTACTATCTAATAATTCACGTCTCATTTTTCTATAATTAATAAACCTCACAAAATATTTAAAAACTGTTTTTAAATTCTATTTTAATGTAATGCACCTGTAAATATGTAATTGAATTAAACCGCCACAATAAATCTATTTGTATGATCGTTAGCTTTTTTTTTCAATATTTCGGGAATAAAAACAGTAAAAGTTTTAAAAATATTCTTAAAAAAAAAAATAAATCAATTATTTCAAAATTACCCATTTGTAATAGTTTTATTTTTCGAAGCTAAATTATACTCGATTAAAGTAGTGCAATTAAGTAACAATGTTATTTCTAAAAGCAGCTTTAGAATATCTTTGAAACAGCACGGCTCATTTGACAGCCCTATTCCTGGTACAAACATTATTCTTTAAAAGATGTCAATGCTCTCGGGATAGAGGTCTGAAATTCTACGAAAAAGAATTGGTACCAATACCCCACGTTGGGATAATGGAAATGAACCGATAAAACTTAATTGATTCTTTATCAGGAGAGATAAAATGTCTGTTTTCAAATAAAATAAAAATAATTCAAGAGGCCTAGAAAATTCATGATAGTACTTTAAGGTTAGGTACTTTTAAAGAACCATTGTTGTAATTATCTCTCTTTTAAAATAATAGCGGTTGGTTCGAAAAGGGAATATATGGGTATATTCAGTAAGAAAGGTCAGGTATTGAGGACGGTCTCAATTAAAAAAAATAAGAATATATTTTTTGCCCTTCCGAGTTGTCTTGTTTTCCAGATTGATGTACTTACGTCAATTGGCCAGTATCCTTGTTTAATCATATTTATAAATTTGTATTTCTCAGTCATCGATTTAAATGTGTTTATTTGAATTCTACAGCATGTATTAATTATTACGAGGAATCGGAGGCCAAGATCAAGTGAAAGTAGGACTAATGAATTTTATGTTTCGTTCAAATATAAAATTTTAAATATTATACACTCCCAGGTATTCCTGCAAGTTGTAGATAAAGAAGTGCATTTCCTATATTTTGCAAAGCAATCCTCGTAAAAATAGGCATATCGTGCCTATTTTTAACCCCCACCGCAAAAACGACGGGATGTTATAAGTTTGACGTGTCTGTGTGTCTCTCTGTGTGTGTCTGTGTGTGTGCGTGTATCTGTCTGTGGCATCATAGCTCCCGAACGGATGAACCGATTTTGATTTTGCTTTTTTTGTTTGAGAGGTGTATTAGTCGGGAGTGTTCTTCACTATGTTTGATGAAAATCGATCCAAGATGGCCGTTCCATCAGTATGGATATCAAATGTGAGGGCTTGAGTAGTAGAATACTGAACACTATGACAATTTTCAAATCCAAGATGGCCGCCACCAAAAATGTTGGATTATCTACATATTTTGTTACGACTCCCTCAATACGGATATCAAATAAAAGGCTTAAGTAGTAGAATACTATATACTATGACAAAATTTTATATACAAGATGGCCGCCGCCACAAAATGTTGGATTACCTACATATTTTGTCATGACTCCGAGAATACTATAGGTACACTATGCCAAATTACAAATCCAAGATGGTCGCCATCATAAAAGTGCGAAATTATATAATAGGTACAGACAGCCACATGTCGGGTTACCACAATCTTACACTGAAAGAATTTTTCAAATCGGACCAGTAGTTACTGAGATTAGCGCGTTCAAGCAAGCAATCAAACAAACAAACTCTTCAGCTTTATAATATTAGTATAAATTACCTATTGAAAGCGTGAAGTTATTTGAACTTATATTATTATACGGTAAGTTAGATTTAAATCGGTGTAGCTGTTTAAAATTAAAAAGGGAGGGGGGGAGTAAGAGTGGGTATGACCAATGTTATTGCTATTTTAATAGAATTGAGTCCCATTTTAGAAACTAGATCTGAAATACCTAAGATAAATACCTATTTAACTAAAAATACCTTATATTCTCTTTGGATTGTGATGTAGTAGGGTGATCAATTGTAAAATAATTTCTAATTAAATTTAATCACATGTTAAAATAATCGGCCGAAAGAATAAAGAAACAAAAATTTTATACGAAGTCTGGGAGAGATTTTAACTTAACTTTCTGATTCGAAGCATGTCTTCCTTGTGGGTGAGGTCTGAAGCCTTCAAAACTGTAAAAAGAGTATGAAAAGAATAATGAATGTTGAGAATGTTGAAAAATCTGTGTGGGAATGGTTTTTCTTGCCCTCGGTTTCAACTGCACGTCGATGCAAATTTGAATCCTGCAAGACGATGTATTATTAGAAGTAATCATATTTGGTTTATTGCAGATTTTCGAGGCTCGAGATCTACCAATCAAGGACATGTCTGGTAGTAGCGATCCGTACATAAAGGTCTTTTTGTTGCCTGACCGCAAGAAGAAGTTCCAGACCAAGGTCCACCGTAAAAATTTGAACCCTGTCTTCAATGAGACTTTCCTTTTCAGGTATTTTATTCAGAGCAAAAAAAAAAGATTTTGAGGGATTAAATTTTGCGTATTTCAAAATAGCATCAATCTTTATTATTTGGATGTAAATTTTCATAATAACATAAAAGTATTAACATTGTTGCGCCATCAATTACAATCGAAACGAATAAAACCCTGAGGCGTATCCAGATTCTTTTGAATAGTACCAATTTTATTTTTCCCTTGTGTTCAAGATTTATACTTTCTGATAAACATTCCAAAACACTTTACTATATTGTCATCCAAACTTTTTCTTGTCCCTTAGCTTGTCAATTACCTTCTGTCTCGATTTCGACTTCGTGGAATTGAGAGCGAAGTTTCAAAAAACAATCTTACTTCTTTCAATATTAAAACTGTCATGGCAAATTAACTAATTATAAACAAAATACCATCATGCAGAAAATTACTCCAAACTCAAGCTTAGCAGATGCTCGAAAGGAGTGTCGAATCTGTAACCTTTTGCTAATCGAGGAAAGTGACTGCCCTGCCAATTGTGCTATAGAGACTGACGTATTTTTTTCAATACTTGTTACAGTGAACCTGTGGTAACTTTAACAAAGTAAAAAATAATACTTATTTGAAAAGTTATATTAAGGGACTGTTAATTTAGTTAAGATTAATTGATGATAAAATCCCGAACTTAGATTTGCTATACGCTGTTACCTGAGTGTATTTTATTAATGTTGATAATTTAAAATTAAAAAAGTACCATCATTATAATTTTGTTACCAGCGTTCCGTATGAAGAGCTACGCCAGCGTTACCTTCAATTCTCCGTATATGACTTTGATCGATTCAGCCGCCACGATCTCATCGGCCATGTTGTTCTGAAAGGTTTACTGGAATCAGCTGATCTTCATCAGGAGATCGAATACACAATGAACATATTAGCTGCACCACAGGTAAAATTATGGAAACGGTTTATGGTTATGGAATTAGTCATGATAGTCAGACAACCTTTAAAAACTCAATTTATGCACTAGCTGAAAAAGTCGTGCATAGGAAGAGTCTCAAATTCATTTTTGAAAACGTTGGGAAAATGTGTAGTGAATATTTTGAGTTAATACTTAAAACTTCTGGAATATGTATTGTTCGCAATCACTATAATAATTTGAGATTTTACAAAAAATCACTCACATTTTAATAACTTAATCAGTGACGTGCTTATATGTGCGTCATAGTACTTATTTTAATTTCTACCCATTCTAAATATTAAAAACCACATAAAAAATCCACACATAGTAGTGATGTTAATATCAATTGAAACATTGCCAACTCGAAATATTACGTTACCAATATATTTCATGTCACAAAATTATATAATACCAGAAAATTCATCGCACCTGATTTGGTAACATCGACGTAAGAAACATAAAGGCAAATCATTAATCAAGTGCCGTCCGGAATCGTTCTTTGTTAGTCTTTCACTGAGTGCTCTCGGGAACTCTCCTTGGGCCAAAACTTTGAAGGTCAGATGATCTATTCTAAAGTAACATTGTTCTGCAGGGTAATATTTATATAAATACAGAAAGGCTTATTCGTTTTCTTTTATTAACATTAAATTAAAAGTTTTTAAAAATACCATAGTCGCACTTCGATGCGTGTAATAGTTCTATATCAGATTTTTTATTTAATATCAATGACGACTGTGTTCTTAAATCGTATTAGTGCATACTTTTAAATATCTATATATCTAAGAACTCTTGTATTTCGGTTATTAAATTTAAACATTATTATTGGATATTTAATTTATTATATAATACGATATGTTTCATCGTAACATTTTTAATAATTTTCAGTGGCGTACGATTGAATACATAAATTTACATGATATATAATATTAAACATAAGTATTTTTGTGTTTAATTTTTATTATAATTATAACATTAATAATTATTTTCTTTTACCAGGAAAAGAAAGATCTGGGTGAGCTGATGTTATCACTGTGTTACCTGCCTACTGCTGGTCGACTAACAGTTACCGTAATCAAAGGTCGAAATTTGAAGGCCATGGATATCAATGGATCCTCGGGTGCGAAAGAGCTACATACTAGTGATGTAACGAATGACATTTTTTAACCTTTACGAATGCAAATGCGAATACGAATATCTACTACCAAAATTTGCGAAAGCGAATGATAATATTCAATTATTTTATTTGGCGCCAATCGTATTACGTATGTAGTAGTAGTGTGACTATTATTTTAAGTTTTATACAAGGAGATGCTTGCCGAACATTAAAACATAAAAGTAAAAGTTTCGGAGAAGAATTTGTTTCTCTTTCATGGCATTTTTTGTTTTTGAACTATTTACGAGAATTTAATTGTTTCTTGGTATAATATCTGAAACTTTCACTCTATTAACCGAAGTAGCAGTAACTATGATAAAATGAAGGCTGATAATTATATTTTATACTAATAAATAACAGGAAACTAATGGATTTGTATTTTATGAATCTAATAAAATTTTCTCAAGATTGATTTTGTTTTCTGATATTCATATTCGCAAAAAGTTTTGCAAATGTGTGTTTGAATGCAAATATTCAAAAATATATGAATATTCACGATTGTGAATGCGAATATTCGTTACATCACTACTACATACCATCAATGAAAATGCAATAAAATTTGTCACTTGTCTTTTAAAATCGTGTTGTCTTCATAGTTACAAAAAAATATCATTATGTGCAATTTTTTTTACAAGTTTTTGTTATTATTTATGTAATTTTTCTTTTACTCTTTACTTTAGATACGGTTACTTGCATTACTTTTATCTTATTTTTATCATCTTTTAGTAACCTCTATGTTGTAATTTTTTTTTTTGTTTTGTATCATCTATTGCATGTTTTTTTTAGTCTTACCGAATGTGTCTTGTTGTCTAGATTTATCTTTTGATCTTAGTCTCTACAAGTACAGTTTGTCGTATTTTTTCGGGATGAGAAAAGAACGGAAAGCTTTTGTGTCGGGGGTCTATTCTCTGAGTAGGTAAAAGAAGTATCGATTTTATCTGAAACGTCCAAGTTTGTAATGAACACTTTAAAATCGACATTTATCTCAATTTCAAAGTTATAAATACAACAGTTGAATTGAAACCATCAATAGCAAGCTCAGGGATTATTAAGTAAGCTATCAAAATTCCAAGTACATACGAAACAAATGAATACACGAAATTCGGGTGTAAAGAGTGGACCACTCTTTGCCTTCCCGCGTATAACCGACTGAGAGGATTTAAATCCCTTTTCGCCATTGTATGTCTGAGACGTAAAAGTAAAGACATCGTTGAAAAGCCAAGGGTCGGAAAATCTATTTCATTTTGGGTACCTTTACGTTTTAGTGACGAACAAAGGACGTTAGATTGTTTTATATAGGTATAACCACGCTCTTACTCCTTTAGACATTTGAATAATATATCATGAAAAGTAATGATTGATAAATATTCAAGTCAACAATTACTAATATCTTAAACTGTAGAGTGGAGCAAAGAGAATCGTTTACTGTAAGAAAAAAAGGACGTGAAAATAATACTATTCAGAAATATGTTGCTTGTATTTTGGGAGATTAAAACATAAATTCAATTGACTTTGCAGATCTTTCTTTCTAAAAAGATAAACAAAACGCAATGCACGCAATACAAAACGTTTACACTGTGGGAGCATACGTATATTTTTAATAATTATGATTCATAGTAGACAGAAAATAAGTGTATACATAGTCACGTTTGAATAGTATGCAGATTTCAAAGCGAATGTCGTTCCCTTTACTGAAATCTCATCTGAAAGCAAATGCCTTATGCATCGTACTACTGAACTCGACTTTGCGTATAATTTGACGAATATTTTCCCTATGTATTTTTAATTAAATTATAAAGTTACAACTTTTATTTATATACAGATCCCTACGTGAAGATATGTCTCATCTGCCAAGGCAAACGAATCAAAAAGAAGAAGACCACCGTGAAGAAAAATACTCTATGTCCAGTTTATAATGAAGCTCTGGTCTTCGACTTGCCGGCTGACAATGTGTTTGATGTCACTCTCGTTGTCAAAGTGATGGATTATGACAGGTAATAATTAGATATTCACATCACCAAACAGAAGGTTGCACAGTCGCTCATCTCTAGCAAAGCAATTCTGTTAATGTTAGCGTAATTATTGGAAGTCAGTAGCATTTCCAATTGAATGTTTCCAGTATAATTTAGGATCGATGCAGCATGTCTTATACTTTATCTTAATATTAACTCCTTGCTCCTTGATGAAAACTGAGAATGCGAATTGACTTTGTTTTATAAAATGTAAATAATCAATAGAATTTCAAAGCGAAAACTTTGGTTCAATAACGAAATTCTTATTACAAATTCACGAAAACAATACGTACGAACTCATCTTAATATTTTAAATTGAAATAGTAGTTTGTGTTTACATGACCTACAAAAAATAATACCTAGTCGCTTTACAAATATAAACTTGGCGTAACAAATCCATAATATTTGCATGCCTTAATATCAAAATGAAATTTAGTGGTAACTTTGTCTTCCAATCGTATGAATTATAAAAAATTATACGATCCATACATCTCCATTAATTACTATTGAGTGAACAATTCCAACATTTTGTTAGTTTCAAATATTTTTTAATATTCTGTATTGATTCAAAGTTGCTTAAGACTGATTTTCATATGTTATAATTAAATGGTAATAATTAGTAGGTAAAAATAAAATATAAGACAGTTCAAACAATTCTGCCACCATGGCTACAAAATAGCTGAACGACCGAATAAGTTGCCAAATTCCAATTTTATTATGGATAAAGTAGCTAAAAACAAGAAAATAAAAATCCCTACATCTTACTATAGATACATCTACAGTCTTTAAGACCTATTTATTATTCCTGCGTAGACATATTACGAATTCCTTTAAGATCACGTGATGTGGTTAGATACTTCTTATAGTGACTTTGTGTACTTACAATGATTGATTGTATAGGCAAAATGCACTTTATTTATTCTTAATGTACTTTATCAATATAATTAATAAAGAATAGCTAAATAAAGTACATAATAGTTTTAGCTACTTAAAACTTATTTGAATTTAATTGAATAGGATTGGTCCGAACGAATTGATCGGATGCACAGCCATCGGAGCTGCCCTCATTGGTATCGGTCGCGACCATTGGTTGGAGATGTTGGACAATCCTCGCAAACCGGTCGCTCAGTGGTATCCTCTCAACAAAAGCCCACCGGCGAACGTTACTTTGCCAGTTAATGAACAGCAGAACGTCGGTTTGAGCTGTTTAAACGGAAGGTAAGAAGCAGCTATCGATTAATTGTTTGTCGTATATGTTTTAAAAACTTCTCATATGTAACGTACAACGCAAATTTGAATATGTAAAAATAAAATACGTAGTTATCTATACGTATCAGGATTTTGATCACGATCGGAAGAATGACAATCACAATTGCATTTTATTATAATCTTAAACTGAGTTTGTGATCGTAAATCTAAACCTGTTTAAGTTTAAAATTTGATTCGCAACGCGTCCAATAGAGGGTTTTGTGCGATGTTCTTTTCTAGGTTGTTATGAACTAAAATATTATGGTATTAACTGTTCTTACGCAGACTTTAGAATAAGCAACATTTTATTTGATATTTTTTATAGATATTAAAGTTTCTTAGATATAAATCCAACTACTGGAGATTACGTGATGGCTTAAATTTTGAGATTGTTTTATTTCCAGACCACATAATTTGTTTAGGATCAAGATAAAATAAAGATGTAATTTTATCATCTTTTGGATTTTTATTCTGTCTTTATAATCGAGAAAAGTGTAAAGAAAGCTCACTAAAACAAACGGTGATAGTTTTTTTTTTTAATTTATTTATAAATCAAAAAGATCTAATTTTAAAAACTTTATGATTGGTTTAAAGCATTGGCCGACTAAAGCAAATTGACAATATCAAAAGAGAAAAGGTTCAAATTAGCTATGTTGATTTATTTTGGACGTATAATAATTTGAACCTGGTACTAAATTTAGTATATATAAATATACGAGTAATCAATACTAACAATAAGTACTGCATTTATGTAATCGGCTTTACTTAATTGGACAATAATGTTAGGCTAAATATTAATATGGCTTTTGACACAGGCCCGATAAAATCTTAATTCATGAGATTAATGCAAATTTACTCAACAACCTTCACTAAATATTTTCTAAGTCATCCTTTAAGGAAACAGTTTGCTTAAAGACCCAACTTCATTTAAGGATAATTAGGATTATTCTAATTCAGAGTTGTTTTTAACATTAAGCAGGGCTAATACTTCTTAAATCTTTCTACTTAAGATTCGTTCTTTAAGTTTCAATCTCGAAAAGTATCTGGGGGTACGAAAGTGCTCGTTTCGAGCAAAAAAAGTAAAAATGGGCATGGCCGTACCATCCTTTTCTCGAAGCCATTCGGGCCATTTTTGACCCTCTTTAACTAAGTTGTGGAGTAAACTAGAAGCCTAAATTTTAGTGACCAAGAGGGCATCACATAACGAGGCACCTTTCTAAATTACAATAAATTTTAACGAGTACTTTTAGCATTATTGCAATTCAAAATACCTTAATTTTCAACATTCTAGCAGACCCACTGGTTACAAATTTTGAACACTATTATTGGGTTGGCACAAAAGTAATGAGACACACTAGAAAAATCTATAACATTTCCTTTTTAAAATCGTTTTTTTCGATAATATTCTAGAATGTTGTAGAACATTCTAGGTACTTCTGGTGTAGGGTATATAAAGCCGCGCTCGCGATTTGTTTAGTCAGTTTGAAGAAAAATGGACGAGCGACAAGTTCGAACACTATACTTATACGAGTACTTGTTAGGCCACAGTGCGCGGGCTGCGGCTGACAATATCAACAATGCATTAGGCGCTGGAAGTACAAGCCATGCGACGGTGTCCCGATGGTTTGACCGTTTTAAATCAGGAGACAGGAGCCTTGAAAGTCAGCCACGCTCAGGGCGACCACCCGCAGTGAATGATGACGATTTGCGCCGCGAACTGCAGTTGAATCCGGATGCTACCACTCGTGAATTAGCGGAAGCACTTAAATGCAGTCACCACGCCGTGGAACACCATCTGCATGAGCTTGGTTATCGAAAAGTTTTGGCTCGGTGGGTACCGCACATCCTTACAGACGCCAGTCGTGCAGTCCGTGTCGCTATCTGTCAGTCACTTTTGCTGCGACCCCGACGTAAAGAGTTTTTGTCAGATCTGGTTACTGGAGATGAATCATGGATTTATTACGAGAACGATACACGTCGTGCTTTTTGGCTGCCTCGAGAAGAAACGCCACCAACTCAACCGAAGCCGAGTCAAAAGAACCGCCGAAAAATTCTGCTTTGCTGTTTCTGGGATGCGCAAGGCATACTGTTTTATGAGCTATTACACAATGAAACTATAAACGCTGACAAATATTCAACCCAGCTTACCAAATTATCTGCCGCTATCAAGAAAAAACGACGAAGACGAGTCAATGTAGTTTTACTGCACGATAACGCTCGACCTCACGTCGCATCTGTGGTTCGCCGGCAGTTGGAGAACTTGGGCTGGGAGACGATACCCCACCCACCTTATTCCCCAGACCTCGCCCCATCAGACTATCATTTGTTTAGAGCCCTGAAACAGCATTTGCGGGGTAAACAATTTAATGATTTCTCTGACGTAGAGGCGGAGTTGAACAACTTTTTCGAGGCACAGCCATCAGAGTTCTGGGCAAAAGGCATCCAAACTTTGCCGGATCGTTGGCAAGAAGTCTTAGATACTAATGGTAATTACATCATTGACTAAACTTTTTTTATTATAATACTAATAAAAAAGTAAAAACTTAAACCACGTGTCTCATTACTTTTGGGCCAACCCGATATTTTGCATATAAAGTAAGGAAAAAATCTAACATTGTAAAGTATTTGTCCCATTTTTAGAAGTTGTATTATTTATAATTGTAGAGCATTTTGAAATCACTGTGACGAGGATGGACAGCTGCTCTCACAAAAAGATAGATACTAAATTAATCGACTTGGCTAACGTGATTTCATAACATTTTACGGCAGAAGAATTACGTTGTGAGACTTATGCTTCTTTTACTAGGATACATTGGCCGTAATTTTACTATTATCATTAGATAACACTTTTGGTCTAAGAATAACATGACGTAAATTCATGCTGATTATGAAATAGGGTAGGTAACGCGATTATGGCCATTTTAAATGTTAGAAAGAAGTGAACTTTGGTACATCGCAGCTGGTAATGATATAAGATTAGCCACTACTCAACATTTTAGTGCCCGTGTAAAGTAATATTTATGAATATATAACTTAGGTCTCCTTAATGTTACAAATGACCAAAAGGGCACCAAACCGAAGGTAAACCGTTTCACTCGTCTTACAATCTCGAAAGAAAATACATAAAAACGACGACTGGGTTTTATTATTCTTTAAGATTAACTACGTAAATAAATAATCAAAATACATATTTAAGAATAAACTGCAATTAAATTGAAAATTCAATTTCAAAATACATTTTTTTCTGTATCGATATTTAATACTGCTATGATGGCTAGGTAGATCATAGTAGTCCAGAGTTTGGTGTTTACAGAACTTTATTAAGTACCTGTAATATCACAGAATCCTATTCAATTTATAGGCGAGATTAGTCCCACACGTTACATGCGGTATCCCGGTATTTCGGTATTGCATTCCAAGTTAAGATCTGTACGCGTAATTCTCAATTCTCGCGTTATAGAGATTAGGAGGCTTAATAAAATCCGATGTAGGAAAAGTCTGTAAGCATAGAAAAAATAACGTATTAACACCAGTAAATATTTCCAGATGAAGAGAGTTTTCCCAGACGACTGACATCAACATCTACAAGATAAGATGGCGTCGGACATTGGAGAGGTTAAATATCCGTGACTAATCGGAATCATTAGACTAAACAGAGAACTCATGATGCCAATTGTATTACTAAAACATGATAAAAATAAAACTCAACTAATATGACTCGTCTTGAATATTCATGTATTCCGATTCCGATAATGGCCGAACGTATAATGATATTAATTGTCAGTCTTGTTCTTAATAATAAATAAAATGTACAATATAATGACACTTGGCACACACCGTTTTAATCTCGACGACACCACGTGCTACTTGAATAATACTTTTTAGACGACATTTGTTGCGACAGTGAACCATGTAAGCTGTAATTTTATTGCGAAAATAACGGTTTTACATCCATCTACTGTAGACTCTAATATTCTATGTCAAGTGATAAAAGTGTAGAGAAATAGATCTAGAAAATGTCTGTTTAAGTAGAGAAAAGAATTTAGAACCTCATTGTTTATCAGACTTACTAAATAAAATAAACGATTAATCTGTTAATGTAGATTGTCCATTGGTGTTTAACGTGTATTTTAATAATAAATTCATCGTCATTCCTTTCAGAAACATCTTGTCTTGTTTTATATTTTATCTCTTAATAAGTTGGTATTTTCCTTTCTAAAGTTAATCATCTCTAATAACTATTAACTTCTATACATATTTGTATATTTAAATCTAAACGCACACTTCAAATTCAAGACTTAAATTACTATGTATACATACATTACATATATACATACATACATTGAATATGATTATCATGAATTTTAATGTTGTGTAGTTGTAAATGTCTTTACCGTAGATATTATTAAGATAATGATATATTTGTTTAATCAAGTTCAGATACATATATCTTTGAGAATGAATTAGATAAGTGTAGATTATATAATAAATGTGTTAAAAATATCACTTTATAAATTTCACTTCTAAGCACATACTTTTCTTGAAATTTGAGTGTTTCGAACATTCATTCAGTATCGGACAATAATATAGATACGTTTTATTGAATGAACGATTGTATTGACAAAATTATATATGAGAAAATAGATTTATCTTATATTTATAAAAGCAGAGGTGCCCAAATTGGGATTCGAACTAATTTCATAATCAGGGCAAGGGCAGTGTATTGACAAAATTATATATGAGAAAATAGATTTATCTTATATTTATAAAAGCAGAGGTGCCCAAATTGGGATTCGAACTAATTTCATAATCAGGGCAAGGGCAGTGTATTGACAAAATTATATATGAGAAAATAGATTTATCTTATATTTATAAAAGCAGAGGTGCCCAAATTGGGATTAGAACTAATTTCATAATCAGGGCAAGGGCTCTAACTAAGGTTACCCTAGGCTTAAGCAAGACAGTCGAATTTCC